CGAAGCCTAAGCCGCGCGGGTTTAGGAATAACGGGCGCGGTCGCTCACGCGCAGGAGACGAGCGACGGACATGAGGCGCATACGATGGCGCGCGAGTGTGGGACAAGCGCGAGAGACTTATGCCGCGTAGGAGTGAGTGAGGCAAGGGCGGCATGCGCGGGCGAGGAGGATGAGGCGCGCGATGCCTCGCGCGCCAAGGATCAGGCATGCTAAGGGCGGCGCGCGAGAACAAAGGCGGCCGAAGGTTCTAGGGACGCAAGACTTAAGCTTCAGGTATTTTGGAGTGCAAGTCAAGCTATTAATAATTATAGTAATAGTAGGATTTTATTACAATGTTGCTTTTAATTATTGATTTAGGAGATCTAGTTTGGTTAGCTTAGATTTATTTCATGCATCTATAAATACCCATGTACCTCTTCATTATTGAACTTGTTGAGAATTGATGAGTGATAGGAAAGGGGAACTTGGTGTTCTAACGTGTGTTAAGCAAGGCCGTAGTGTGTGTTTACATACAAGTGTCGGAGAGAAGGCTATTAGTGTGTCTTGAAGTCACACGTGTCTAAGAGAAGGCCGTAGTGCGTCTATTAGTCACATATATCGTGTGTAGTCGAAGGCCAGAGTGCGTGATTACATACAACCGAATAGACAACAACCGCGATCAACACTCCGATCACTCATCACGCGCCTCCCACGCGTCACTCGTCGCCACTACCTTTCCTACTCTAGCGCGGACTAGGCTTTGCGCGTCTGCTTCCCACTCGCGCGCCAACGCGCGCTTCCAGTGGCTGCCGCCTTCCTCTTGCGCGTGCGCGTCCGTGCCCGCTATGCCTACTCCTACTCGGCCTCGGCTTCCGCCCACGTTACCTTCACTCACGCGCCCCGCGCGCCCCGCATCCCTGCCGAACTCCTCGCGCGCGTGCTGCTGCGCGCCTGCCATTCCTAGGCCTGCAAGGCCTAGGTCTTCGCCCGCGTGCTCTCCACTTGCGCGCCTATCGCGCCCCGTGCCTTCACCGCCGAACGCCAGCGCGTCCTAGTCAGCGTCCGTGGTTCGCTCACCTACCGCGCACTCCCGTGCATCCAACGCTGCTCGCTTGCCGATCACATTCTCGCGAGCATCATCGCCCGATGCGCGCCACTCGCTCATTAGCCGTGCGCCACTTACGTCGACGCCGACCGACGCTGACTGCTCGCCCGACGGTCTTGGCTCGTCCCATGGGTCTCAACCTTCCAACCCAATGTAGTCTCCAGCACGCCATATCCAACCATCTTCTATCCTTTACCTACCACGCCTTCGAACCTCTGAACGCCATGCCCGTTTCTTCCTCGCACACGGCCCACAACAATGGCTTGTCTTTTGCGCCTTTGCTTTGCGTCTCTTCTTGTGTTTCCTTGACTTAGACCTTGGACCACATCCTCTCGGCCAATCTCTCTCGCACGAAGGTCGATAAATCGGGCTTGAAGGCTCCTCGAGCATGTTCTCTAACCACATGTCGAGATCTTCGACCATTCCATCGCTCGATTCACCGGGGTTGATGACCACTTCCGTATCATTCCACTCCTCTTCAAGATTTTCCTTGTCCTCAAGGATAAGAAAGTTTAGCGCACATTTATCTCCATGGCTCGTGACTTTGGCTTCTTCAACTTCTTTGGCACGCTCCTCTTCTAAGCCCTTCCGTTCGTGGAGCTCCTCCAAGTACTCTAGCTCATCCGGAGTCAAACTCCTCTCCAAACCTTCGAGATATTCGAGATCCTCCAGATCCATCTCGTCCAATGACTCAAACCTCAGCATGACTCTCTTCATATTTTTTTTTTCTTTCTGACACTATCAAAAATTTTTTCGGAAAAAAAAAGAAGAAAATTCGAAAAAATTTCAAACAAGGGGGGAAAAATCGGACAAAAAGACAAAAGAATGGGATAGGAGAAGTATAATGAAACACACAATCAATAACTCTCAATGATAGCACCAATGATGAAGGATCGTGTGTTTTGTTCCACTTGCTTGCCTCGAACAACGCGTCGCCACGGCCTTACTCTCAACGATAGGTATGATCGACTCGGTTATTAGCCTAACTCTCTCCCGATACTTGAGTTCACTCGGTAATTAGCCTTGCTCCCTCGATTTTGAACTAGCTTGGGTTTTAGCCTCACTAATTCGATTGCATGATCGGACTCTCACGAATCCTAACACACTGTTTGAACAAACGTTCCTTTCTATTCACTCATCAATTCCAAGACCTTCAAACCAATGAGGGGATACCCCTATTTATAGGTGCATAAAATCAATCTAAGCCTAACTAAACTAGATCTCCTAATTCTATAATGAAAAGCAACATGGTAATAAAATTCTAATACTACTATAATTATTCTTGTTTGATTTGCACTCCACTTTTCTTGATCTCCAAGTGTTGCGCATAAAACCCTTTGGCCGCCTCACACACACGCCGCCCTTGTGCGCGCCGACCTCACATTGCCTATACCTAGTCGCGCGCGCGCTAATATGGAAGTGGTCGTCGAGGCCGAAGGATGACCGGGAATAGTCCAAGGCCGAACAGGCAAAAGGCGCGCATCGGGAGGTGATGCGCGAGAGCAGGTGATCAGCACGCGGACAACGTTGGGCGCGGGTGCACGGTACGCAAGCAGGTCGCGGGCGTTAGACGATACGCGCGTGAGGATGATGGCAGCCGAGGAGCGCGCGCGAGGGCGCGCGAGTGCAGCAAGGACGTGGGCGCATGCCTATGCGCGGTAGGCATAGGCGAGGGTGGCGGCGCACACGCGCGCGAGGAGACCAAGCGCGGATTGGGCGCGCGCATAGGCGCGCGTGCGAGGTGGGCGCGCAAGAGGCCTAAGCCGCCAAGGACTACGAGTACGAGGGCGGCGCGCGCAACGCGTGCGACGCGCAATATAAGGCGGCCGAAATACTTGGGGCGTGTGATTTGGAATTGTTTGGAGTGCAAGCCAAGCAAGATCAAGATCTAGTCAATTAGGAATCTAGTATATTTAGTTTCCTTCTTGCACAATAATATCTAGATTGTTTAGGAATTTAATATTTTATTGCTTTAATGAGTTTCCTAGGTAGATTAGAATTAGTTATTGTTAGGATCTATAAATAGGGATAATCCCTCATTGTTTTTCATGTCTTGGATGAGTTGAATAGAAAAGAACGTTTGTTTGAAACCGTGTGTTAAGATTCGTGAGAGTTCGATCATGCAATCGAATTGGTGAGACTAAGACCCAAGCCAGTTCAACCGAGTTAGTGAGGCTAAGACCCGAGCTAGTTCAAAAGAGGGAGCGAGGCTAAGACCCGAGTGAACTCAAGTATCGTGAGAGAGTTAGGCTAATAACCGAGTCGATCACACCTATCGTTGAGAGCGAGGCCGTGGCGAAGCCGTGATTGAGACAAGTCGTGGGTAACGCAACACACGATCCTTCATCATTGGTGCTCTCATTGAGAGTGATTGATTGTGTGTTCGTTAACTTTTTCTATCCCATTCTTTTTCTTTTTGGTTCAAATTTTTTGTTCTTTCTTGTTCGAATTTTTCGAATTTTATCTTCTAATTTTTGAAAAATTTTGTGAGTATAAAAAAAAAAGAGAGTCATGACGAATCGTGAGAGATTCGATGCGCTTGAAGAAAGCGTGAGGTCCCTTGGCATCGGACAACACGTGGTCAATGAAAACATGGCAAAGTTGGAGCTCATGATACACGACTTGGCGGGACAACTCGAGAGAGTCAAACCACCATTCGCGGAGGAGCCGCACATCAAGATCAACCTTGGCGGGAACGGGCAGTTCGACGTCTAGTCGCGATGACGACGATGAACGGTCGCGGGGAACGCGCGCGATGCGCACTACCCGACACCACGGCGATCGCAGGACGCACGGCCATCGACATCATCGCGAGGAGCACGTACGTGCGAGGCCGAAGATCACGATGCCAACGTTCGAAAGAGTAGATCCGGATGCATGGTTAAGTTGTGCCGTGCAATTTTTTGAGATCAATGAGGTACGATTGGACATGCCAAGGTCAACGAGGGCCGCGATGGAAGCAGCACGACTGTACGAGGATCATCTCGCGGCAGTGCGCATGGCCAGAACGAGCAAGGGGCGCATGGACATTCGGCGCGTGAGCATCACGGTCAATGATACGCCCCCACGGGCCGAGATCAAAACAACAGTCGGCGAAGGTACACGCACTACGAGCAACTACCGACGGCTGACGGATGATGAAATTCAAATATGAAGAGAAAAAGGCTTGTGCTTTACTTGCAACGAGAAATTTGTGCCAGGCCACAAGTGCAAAGGTAAGGAAATTCTTCTATTGGAAATTGAGGAGGAACGAGAGGAAGAAAAGCCACGGAAAGAGTCCTGGTTGCACATGGTTAAGTGCAATAAGCGTGGTCCTAGGATGATCAGGTTCACGGTTGAGATAAAGGATATGTTGCTAGAGGTACTGGTGGATAGTGGGTCGAGTTTAAATTTTATTGACGAGGGGATAGCCCAGAAGCTCAAATTGGTACCCACAAAAGTTAAGAAATTTAGTGTCAAGGTGGCCAATGGACATGAGCTGCAGGGAAGTCAATTATTCAAGAAGGTCCCGATAATGGCACAGGATCTAGAGTTGGAAATTGATCTTTACGCCTTACCGCTCAAAGCAACAGGCGTGGTATTAAGAGTGCAATGGCTCGAAACACTCGGGCCCATTACGACCGATTATAGGCGAGGAAAGATGGAGTTTGGACGACTAGGAAAGCGCATTAAGTTGAGAACTGAGGACCAAGGTGATTTCCCCATTGAAGAAGATAGTGACGTTGATGTGCTAAACTCTCATATCCTTGAGGACAAGGAACGTCTTGAAGAGGAGGGGAATGATATGTAAGTGGTCGTCGAGGCCGAAGGATGGTCGGGAATAGTCAAAGGCCGAACGGGCGAAAGGCGCGCATCGGGCGGTGATGCGCGAGAGCGGGTGATCAGCACGCGGACAACGTTGGGTGTACGCGGGTGCACGGTACGCAAGCAGGTCGCTGGCGTTGGACGATACGCGCGCGAGGATGATGGTAGCCGAGGAGTGCGCGCGAGTGCAGCAAGGACGCGGGCGCATGCCTTTGCGCGGTAGGCATAGGCGAGGGTGGCGGCGCACACGCGCGCGAGGAGACCAAGCGCGGATTGGGCGCGCGCATAGGCGCACGTACAAGGTGGGCGCGCAAGAGGCCTAAGCCGCAAAGGACTGCGAGTACGAGGGCGGCGCGCGCAACGTGTGCGACGCGCAATATAAGGCAGCCGAAATACTTGGGGCGTGTGATTTGGAATTGTTTGGAGTGCAAGCCAAGCAAGATCAAGATCTAGTCAATTAGGACTCTAGTATATTTAGTTTCCTTCTTGCACAATAATATCTAGATTGTTTAGGAATTTAATATTTTATTGCTTTAATGAGTTTCCTAGGTAGATTAGAATTAGTCATAGTTAGGATCTATAAATAGGGATGATCCCTCATTGTTTTTAATGTCTTGGACGAGTTGAATAGAAAAGAACGTTTGTTCGAAACCGTGTGTTAGGATTCGTGAGAGTTCGATCATGTAATCGAATTGGTGAGGCTAAGACCCAAGCCAGTTCAACCGAGTTAGTGAGGCTAAGACCCGAGCTAGTTCAAAAGAGGGAGCGAGGCTAAGACCTGAGTGAACTCAAGTATCGTGAGAGAGTTAGGCTAATAACCGAGTCGATCACACCTATCGTCGAGAGCAAGGCCGTGGCGAAGCCG